ACTATCTATTTGGGGGCTAATTTTATCTTGTATGATAGAGGTGAATAGTTTATATACACTTGAGAGTAGGCTTATCGGACGGTAGTTAGCGATGTCGAGTGGATCTCCTTTTTTATATAGCAGTATTATATCTGATTTTAGCCATTGTTCTGGTATTTTTCCTGTGTTTAGAACCATGTTATATATACTTGTTAGTGGTCCGGTGAGTAGTTTCGCTCCTTCAATCAGCGCCTCGTTCTTTAAGCCATCTGGCCCTGGGCTTTTCTCTCGTCTCAGCTTTTTAATGTTTTTCAGGACGTCTTCTTCTCTTACTATAGTCGTTTCGCCCGTATTTGTTTCTAAGCTTATTATTTCCTTGACCGGTGTTGTGTTCTGTGGCTTAGTAGCATATAAATCTTTGTAGAAGTTCGTAGCGCAGGATATTACGTCTTTCCTTGATTTTGTTTCATTTCGTCCCACTTTTAAGCTCTTGATCCAGTCAGTATGAATGGTTAGTTGTTTGTGAGCTCTTTTAACGCTTCTATAGTGTGTTAAGCTAGTTTCAATTATATTTTGTTTATGTTGCTTGTAATCATTTCTTATTGACTTACTAATTTGTTTAAATAAATATGATAGCTCTTTTTTCATTTCTTGTGTTTTGTTCTTGGTTTTTATGAGTTCGGTGCGTCTTAGGATCAAGAGTTTTGTTGTATCGTTGAAGAAATGGCAGATGTGCTTACTATTTTCGTATTCTTTACTATTGTTAGCAGTCTCTAGTTTTAAGCTATTTTTTACGTAGAGTTCGAATTTGTCATACGTTTTTTGTACGTTGTCTTTATCAAAATTGGTTAGGTTTATGAGGTTTGTTTGTAGCTTAGAAAGGTATGTTTTTATTTGTTCTTTTGTTTTTAATAATGCCACCGAGTTATGGAAGCGTTTTCTGCATTTTTTAGGGTTTTTTAGGGTGAGTGTTACTCTTACTATTCGATGATCTGACGGAAACTCTACGTTGTTTAAGATATCTATGTTTATAATATTTTTGGGGTAAGTGTACATAATAAAGTCGATTTCATTTTTTTTTTTTTTATCGGGCGATATCCATGTCCATCTTTGATTATTTTTCTTTATAAAGTACGTATTCATGATCGACATTTTATATTCAAGGGCGTATTGAACCAACCTTTCTCCTCTTTCGTTTCTTTTTCCATATCCGTACTTTCCCATAATAAGATTTTCGTTTGTTTTTGGTAGTCCAATCTTGGCGTTGAAGTCTCCCATTACTATGATGTTTTTGTAGTTTTCCGTTAGGCTGTGAGCTTTTTGTAGCGTTTCGTAGAATTTTTTTATGTTATCTTCATCTGAGTCTTTCGTCGGTGCGTAAACTTGAATAATTGCCAAGTCTTTGTCATAGCATTGTAGCTGAAGTAACGCAACTCTTTCCGATAGTCCGCAGAAATTTATAACATTTTTCTTATATTCTTTCTTGATGAGAAATCCCACCCCATTTAGACCGGGTGTTTCCCCCATATAGCAGAGTATGTGGCTGCTATATTCTTCTATTTTACATCCCATTCTTCTTATTTCCGCTAGGCCGAGTATGTCTATGTTTATGTTTCGGATAGCGTGAATTAACTCTATATATTTTTCAGTTTTTGAGAGTGATCTGACGTTGTATGTTGCGATTTTTAGGTAGTTATTTTTATTTCTAGTCTTTTTAATTGTTTCTGGAATGATATTTGGAGGGTTGTGGTCGTACTCTTCCACGGTGACCAGCCGGGTTGGAAGATTGAGAGGGGCCATTGCTTGCTATTCTGTGGGTGTCTTCATGTGATTTGGGTTCTGCTCATATGAAGGGCTTTGTACAGGGTGAAGAAGCGTGGGTTTTTTTATAACGAAGTTGTTCATATTATTTTTCTTGTTTATTTTTGTATGTTGTTTTTTGTTTTGTTTTTCGTTGTTATTATAGTTATTTGATGATTCAGGAGATTCTGAGAGGTGTCTTTTTTTGTTGGGTAATTGTTGCTGGCCAGCTTGGGTATTCTTCTCAAGAATGACAAGCTTGTCGTATTGTATGAAAGCTTTTTTCCCCTGTGCTCTTTCCTTCTTTAGTTCGGTTTGAAGTTCTTTTCGCTTGATCAGTACATCTTTAGGAAAGTCTTCCTTTATATAATACGAAGTTCCATTTAGGATTTTTTTGGTTTTTTGTATTTGTATTTTTAATCCCATGGTGAGTAATGTTACCAGGATGGGTCTTATATTCTCGCTTCTTTTCCCAAGTCTTCTTACAAATTCTATGCAAGGTTTGTCGCATTTTATATCTAATTTATTACTTATGATGTCCAGCACCTTGTTCTCTAAATCTTGGTAGTTCTTTTCTGTTTCTTCCACTCCAAAGAATAGAAGGTTCTTTCTTCTCGATAATCTCTCAATATTGTCTAACGCCTTTTTTTGTGTTTCTAGTTTTTGTTCCATAAGTAAATATTTATTTTCTAAGCTTTTGAACTTCTCGTTGATGTTACTGTTAATTGTGTTCTTGATGTCTTCTTTCATATTTAGCATTTCCACCTTTTGTTGCCTTATTTCTTCTTGCATACTTAGGAGCATAGTTTTAATTTCGTCCATTGTGGAGATTAGAGTAGTGCCCTCTGTTGGTAAGCAGAAAGGAAAGGATGGCTGGTCGATTGTTGTGCGCGGTTGTTTTAGTAGCTTCTTGATTAGCTAATTCCTAAAGAAGTCGCTAGATGGCAGGAGTGAGTAGTAGTTATGTCGATAAAGCAGTGCTGTTTCTTTTTCTATTCCCCGCTAGATGGCGCTGTGCTCTGTGTTGACTTGAAAACGGTTTTTCTTTATATTCGCTAACGGTATTTTTAGGTTATGATGGTAATATTTCTTCGAATCTTCGTCGTAAACTTGATTTCTTTTATGTTAGGCAGGACCAAGGAGTTACTTTTATATTGAGTTGTTGTTTTCACCAGCACTTGACCACAAGTTCAACAGGAAAAGTCACTATACACTGGGCTTGTTTATGTTCAGTTTTTAGCACTATTTCACGATTTTGTACTTCTCACTTTGCCTTCAGACGATGTTTCTGGCGCATGATTACTTTTGGGTACCTTTGTATAACTAGGCTTGCAGTAAATGATTTTTAATAGTAAAAACGATACGGAGTCGATGTTGACAGTAGCGCTGCCGCGCCCTCTCTCCCTATTTGTGTCAAATACTTACTTTATCAAAATTATTGAAAGTAAATTTTGGAATGTAAAATCCACTTTGCGAAGACGACTTTAATACTTAAAGTAAAGTAATAACATGAATCTCACTGTAATACGCCACATGTGTCAATCATTTCCTATCAAATATGATTGCCAATGATAATATAATATATTTATTTTTGACTAGCATTGCCCACGGCTCCGCCCGCGTTCAGATGACCAAAAACCAAATTCTTAGGTTTTACATATTAGTATATTTTTTTTAACGTTGGGAAATGCATTTACGCACGACGTGTGGGACTCACCGGCGACACACCACAGCCAGTACTACCCACTAAAACCCAACAAAACCTTCCCCCGTCATAATGGGGCGTCGCAGGATCGCTTACGCATTCAACTACGACGCCCCAACGGCAGGTCTGCCAAAGCAGACCACCACAACCATGGGGTTGCTCCAAGGTCCACTCTGCTATCAGAGAAGTACCAGGAGCAACCCGCAAGGTACACCGCCCCCCGAAGAGGGCCACCTCCCACCGCCCACCGAAGTGGGCAACCTCCCTGTGCGTTTCTTAGCTTCGCTACTACTACTGAGCCCCCCCACCACGACAAGGTGAACGCACGTTGGGGGGGACATATTAGTATACTCTTACATTGCAGTTTTTGTATTTTTTCTCAGAAATGAGCCATTTTCTCGCGGTAAAAAGTATCCTATGTGTTGACTCGGATAGCCAGCTGTCACCATACAAAATTTCATTAAAATCCCTCAAGTGGTTTTTCTGTGATGCGGTAACAGACAGACAAATAGACAGACAGACAGACAGACAAAAATTCTAAAAACTATAAATTGGGCCACAGAGGCCGGCTCGACAATAATGTTTATTTCAATAAGATTTTCTAAAAAATATTCAATGTACAAATTCGGCTTAGTTACAATTTTATTATAGATATGTATAGATTTATTTTTGATCACTCGCGTGGTTGGAAAATTATTGAAAAAGAGATCATTTTCTAGGATATAAGCCAATTTCCGCATTTAACTCAAATCTTAATAGTTTAATAACAGCTTAATAGGTGTTACAATATTAAGTACTAACAAACACACATTACTCATAAACATTCGCATTACATTACTGTGATTATAGGTTATTGCCATTTCCTTACGAAACATATTGAACACAAAAAAAGCAAATAAATATTTTTTGCCATGTTGAATACAGCGATTCCGCTCACCAAAGTTAAGCATCTTAGGGCGTGGTCAGTACTAAGGTGGGTGACCTAGTAACAAGGCATGACGTTAGCTTTTTCAAGCATGGTGGACTATGATCTGATTCCCCTCGTATAAAAGAAGCTCATGCCCAGCAGTGGGACGTAAAAAAGGGCTGAACACAAATATTTTTATCGGAATACTTAAAATAAAATGCGATACATTTTATGCGTGTACTAGAGTAGTTTTGTTACTTCTTCACGCTGATACGGCTGGGCATATTTGGGTGAAATTTAGTGTACTGATTGACCTGATAACCTGATCTGATAGTGACTTGAGTAACATATATGCTACTGCTAGTTATATATAATACTAGCAGAACCCGCGGCTACGCCCGCGTTTAAAATGCAAAAAAAAACTCTTTGGCTTTATGTTATACAGCCCGTTATGTATTTATATAATATTGGTCATATAAAAACACTAAAATCCTTACTTACTTAACGAAAAATACTTTACGACCTATTCTCATATCTACTAAATATAGAAAAAAAAATAAGCACCGTGCCACGAGATTTTTATTAATTAGATTAATTTCTGGTGCTCACCTCTCACTAGCGTTAATATCCCCAACGGCATAACCAGGATAGCAACAAGCAGATCAGTTATCGCCAACGACATCAAGAAGTAATTCGTAACATTCTGCAACCTTCTTTCCAAATAAATTGCCAAACAAACCAACACGTTCCCAGCTGCAGTGCAAACAACAAGCGCTATAGCCACTAATGCCCACCAATTATTTACGACATCTACTGCTGTAGTTGTTCTATTTCCGTCAGTTTCATTTATTATCTCAATAAATTCTTTAATTGAATAATTAGCATCCAATGTATAATTGATATTAGTAATTAAAGGGTAGTTGAATTCTTTCTCATTCATCGTGAGGTGCTTTTGGTGAACCTCTCAATTTCATTTTTGATTGGACGCATTTCATCTTATTTCGTAAATATGATAGATGTTGTTTCTAGGATCCATTTTGCACTCCATTTTCAATAGTTTTTGTTTTTAGCAAACATCTGCAAAGAGAAAAAATTTTATTAAGTGGTGTTATTTTTTTTAAATTATTTATATTTATATTATTTCTATATGTTTTTGTTTTGTATTTTGAACTTAGGTTAAGAATTAATAAACAATAGAGATTGGTAACAGAATGAACTAAAAAACGCTAGTTTCAAGCCGACTGCGGCGAAGCCCAAAAGGAGGGTTATATATCTCACCTGTATATATATTAAATGTACACAGTATGTAATAAATGTACTTATATGCTATGGATAACGCATCATATAGAATATATTAAAAGTATATCAAAAAATCTAAATAGACGTGGACTTTAAGAGCTAATTTGGACGTCTTGAAAAACGTTTTCTTCCAATCCTATCGAGAATCGTAGAGAGTTTTTAAAGGGGGATGACAAAAAATGTGTACTACGAGTATATACCTTAACACGTTAGCTGCGGCACCAATTTTTGCATACTTTCCGTTCCTGCGGCACGAGGTATAATCGGCCCGTATCGTGACCAGACGTTAGGGCGACACGCGGTCTATTAGACCCCACCTCCTTTTACAGACTAAAATCCATTTTCTGGCGCGAAATCAAAGATAAATGAGAATTTTGGTCCTTATTGATATAGACAGTGAATTGATGAACCCTAATCCACCGTCGCCCCGGGATCTGATGGCTAGTTTAGGAATTATTAGCAAAACAAAATATGGGATCTTATACACCTCGTAACGCACTGAAATAGAGCAAATTTTCGCCGCGATTAGTGATGGGAAAAATAATATCGACGTTTTTAAACTGTCTTAACTACGCAACGACTTGACCGATTTCGATCAATTATATCTCATTAGATCGTTTTAAGGGCAAAACCTGGCAAAACAACACAAAGCTATCAAAGGATACATTTTTTTTTAAATAATCTAAATTGTGCTTGAAGGCGCCATAAAGAAAAAAAAACCGGCCAAGTGCGAGTCGGACTCGCGCACGAAGCGTTCCATTCTATACCATTAAGAGGCACCTATTACAGACTTATTATTGGAAAATAATGGATTACGGTTTATGCATAAGGTTTATCTTTCTATTGATGCACAACACTGGTCGCGGGAAGCTCGCGTTGAGTGCGGTACGAGGTCAGGGGGGATATGGGACGTTTTAGCCTCGTTCCGCACTGCATTAAAATTATATTAATTCAGTGCGGCACGAGGCCTAAGACATCCGGTACCAAGGTAGGTACACCACCGAGTCCGGAACCATTAGTGATCTCAAATATATATTTATCTCTTTCCTACACTGGACCAAACCAAAGCTATGCCATTCGCACGACAGAGAAATTCACTTTTTTGCTTGCCGCACCACAGGGAAGTTGCATCAGGGGTGATTTAGGCCTCGCTTCGCACTTAACGTGTTAAATATTTAAAAATAATTAAGTTTACCAACTGATAATTAAAACCCAATTATAATTATCTTATTTAAAATTATATTCTTACTTTTTCATCAGCCGGGTGTTCTTGTATTATAATTTAAATTTTTATTTCACTGTATTCCTGATATCTATACTAATATTATAAATCTGAAGAGTTTGTTTGTTTGTTTGAAAAATTCTCTTTGCATTAGATAGCCCGTTAACTGGGGAAACCTTTTTTTTAATGTTGGGAAATGCATTTACGCACGAGGTGTGGGACTCACCGGCAAAGCCAGTACTACCCACTAAAACCCAACGAAACCTTCCCCCGTCTTAATGGGGCGTCGCAGGATCGCTTCCGCATTCTAACTGGGGAAGCCTAGGTTATATGTCATCCCGGAAAAATGTACTGTTCCCGTGGGATAGATTTGTTTTTGTCTAGGGACAAACACGAAGCGAATCGAGGGTGAGTCGCTAGTATTAATATGCGCCACATAAATGAGTGTAAGAAAACTGTAATCTATTTGGTACTCTTTTTTGTTTTATTACATCAAAAATTTTACAATACACATCTTAAGGTCGACCTTAACATTAACTTATTTTATATGTATGTAATATGAAATAAGAGTTATTTAAATGGAGACTTCAGTCGAATTATTTATGAATTCAAATGGCTGTCGTTTCGATCCGCTTCATTTGGAATCCAATCTCAACGTTACAGTGCCCGTATTGATAACGTGAATATATAAAGTTTTATATGAATTGGTCCTTTGAAATAGATGATGTAAATTTAATGATGTATATAAAATTAAATTTAAGTATGAATAAGTCTACTTTTTCATAAAAAGTCTAAAGAGGCAGTAGTAGCCTAGATTAATCGCTCGGTAGGAAAAGCAAGGTAAGCGGGTTGATAAGGGCTACATACATGAAAAAATATCTTAAATAAAGTAACGAAAAATATATAGATTAAATATTATATTGAAAAAATAAAAAAAACTAGTAAGAGAACTGTATAGAAGAAAAAACAAAAAATATTAAAAATCCAATATAAATCCAGACACTCCCAAATTGGATATAATTCAAATTTAAAAGTATAAAGCTTTTGAATTATTGCCTATTAAGGAAAAGGCGCCTTACTTCGAGGGGTTCGGAGATTGACACCGTACTCCCGAGATATTTATAAAAACGGTATTTACAGTGACTTAGATTTAAGACGATTATTATTTACAGTGACTAAGAAACTATTTTTAAGACGATTTTATAATTTAAATTGAACTATTTAAATAATTCCTTATCTAAAATACCTGTTTTCATAAGCAGGTTAAATGGTAACAAATATGTTGACATAATGAGCATTTTTATTATATTTTTTAATTTTGAGAACATCATTCATTTATATTTTTACATGGAGTTAGTAAGAATTAGAAATCAAATGGGAATAAGGGTAATTGGAGTAAGATGAATGATTCAGATTTTCTTTAAGTTTCATTACAAATCAACATCTAATATTCCCAAACCCTTATTCTATTTTAGGACATCTAATCAATAAGAAACGGCCGGGCTTTCAGAAAGGTACAAATACTTAATTTTATATGTCCTTTTGAGTTTTGGTGATCTTATCATGGAATATGTTGCCTATATCTTAGACAAAGTTTTCATCCGTGACTTTACTGGGCTATTTAATATTTATTTCCACTTCGAATTTCATTCAAGTTAAGTTTTAAACATTCGTATTTAGCGTTAATATTTAGTGGTTATGGAGTAGATAGTACAATATAAACACTTCTGAACTTTTTTGATTTTCCAACTGTTTTTTTTTTTGGGTTTTAACAAAACAAAAAAAGAATTATTCAAATCGGTCCAACCGTTTTTGAATATTAGCTAGACTAACGAACGGCAATTGATTTATATATATATATAGACATTAGTGACATAATGGGATTTATTCATTGCTTTACCCATTTTTGGCAAAAAAAGTAATAATTGCACAATTTGAATTCGAATATTATATTTTATTAAGCACTTTCTGTATTAAATTTTATTAACATTTTCATGGATCATTTAAATTTCAGAAGGGCTCATGTCGCCAATCTCTGTTATCACCAAGGCAGAAATAAAAGTTAACTATAAGGATGTACCGCTAGAAACGTGTCCGGAGTTTTTATCGAATTCGTAAGATGTCGTAAATGTCAAGTATTTTCATTCAATACACGATCCCATCTCAACACGTGTACCTTTCTGCGGGTAACTATGGGGATCTCTGGAGTATTTTTTCAGATCAATTTATTTGGCATTTCAGGCTTAATAAAATTAGTGTCATAATATTTCATATAAATATTATTTAACTACTTTGTTTTACTGTCTTTGTTTTTATTAATTTGTCAACATAATAAAAGTCCCATTAAAATCTTTTCAGGCGGCCTCGAGTGATAATCATCGTTGAAATAGACGGATAAACAAAAACATTTAAAAGCTAAATATGTAGCAATATATTATTTGAGTACATCTCAATCACTTCTTAAAATCTAAAAAATATTTTATGTATTGTTATATTACCCTTTCTATTATTATAATAAGTTATTATTTTTCAAAATGCGATTCCTTTTCTCACTAAATGGTAAGATGTTGTCATTCTCTCATATTGACTTTAGTTAATAAATCTATACATACGAGTATAATAAAATTGTAACTAAGCCGAATCTGTACATTAAATATTTTTTGGAAAATCTTATTGAAATAAACGTTATTATCGATACAGAGGCCGAATCTACAGTTTTTAGAATTTTTGTCTGTCTGTCTGTCTGTCTGTTACCGCATAACAGAAAAACCACTGGAGGGATTTTGCTGAAATTTGGTATGGTGATAGCTGGTTATCCGGGTCAACATATAGAATACTTTTTACCGCGTAAAAATGTCTGATTTCTGAGGAAAAATACAAAAACTGCAATGCAAGAGTATACTAATATGTAAAACCTAAGAATTGGGTTTTCGGTCATCTGAACGCGGGCGCAGCCGCGGGCCATGTTAGTCTTCAATATAAATAAAAATTAATGCTCGTTTATTAGTCCTCTATGCATTCCTAGACCATTAATTCGATTGTGATGAAAGTTTGGTTGGTTATCCTGTATTATATGCTTACTAAGGTTTCTGGTATAAAAATATTTTTTCTTTTTATTTTATGCAGTCCTAAACCATTCAAGCCAAAGGACGCACCCGGGTAAAGCTAAGTCACTAGTCTTACTAAAATTATAAATGTGAAAGTTTAGATGAATGTTTGTTACTCAATAACGTCAGAACGGCTGAGCGGATCTGGATGAAATTTAGCACAGATATAGATTATAATTTGGAATAGTATATAGGCTACTTTTTATCCCGGAAAATGTACAGTTTTCATGGGATATATTTGTTTTTGTTTTTCTAGAGGCGAAACCGAACAAAGCGAGGGTGAGCCGCTACTATACTACAAAAGCAAAAGGC